GGTGATCTATGTATCAAAGGAAAGCTTGTGGTAAAAATTATATATTATAATTGATGAAATTCTAGTTTTGGTTTCATTTAAACAAATAATGCGAGCGGAAATTTTTTCATATAGATCTAGTTACCTGAAAACAGGGCATTTTAAGCGCTTTTTATAATCCTCATTAACAGGATCCTGTTAATCCTCCCCTGATAAATGGTCCACATTAATTACAATAGGTTCTTTTAAAAAAAGTGGGCCTTTCAGATACTTTTTTTTTTTGGGGGGGGGGGGGTGCATGCCAATACTCTACAATGTAAACAGATCTAGATCTAGATGTAATATGTAGGTCTAGACCTAACTTTGTTAGATCTATAAAAAGTATAATTCTATTCTCATCTAGAAATTTAAACAAGTCAAAAAAGTGAAGAAAAAAAATCACAAATTTCGAAAGTCTAACACACAGTTAGCAGCAAGAAAGTGTTGCCATAAAAAATGCCTGAAAAAATATTTGTGGTTTATACAACATTCTTCAAGACTTCATAAACAACTGTATTATTAGTATGGTAGAGGTACCTTAATCCATGCAGTACATTAATCCACGCATCCCTCAATACGCGCGATGCGACGCGTTATATGCGCTCATTTTTTTTGGATAGACAATAAAACAACAAGCCTATCGCGATATCACAACAATTTTGAGGGAAAATCATTGGTTTCTTGTATTTTTATGATTTCATGAAATCATCAAGAATACACTTCATTGAGACAGAAAACGAAAATATACATTCATTTCCTGTATTAAAACTGTGGTGCGTGGATTAATGTACCGCTTGATTTTGTCAAAGAAAAATTGAAGCGGTCACGTAATCGACACGAGAGTTAACATTCACCAAATATTCCTGTCAAAGTTTTCTCTATAAATGATCCTCAGAATATTTAGTATTTAATGAGGAAAAAACGTTGATAAAAAATGTTAAATTATTTGACTTTTTAGCCTTTCAAAACAAAGTGCGTGGATTAAAAGTACCTCCATCATACAGTTGTAGATCTAAACTATGAGTAGACTAGATCTATGACCATCAAATTTTAAAAAGATCACTTTAACTTCGGCCAGGGCCTAACTGTTAGGCCTATACTTTGTATTGACATCGTGTTATGAGTGGCCTATACTTTGTATTGACATCGTGTTATGAGTGGCCTATACTTTGTATTGACATCGTGTATGAGTGGCCTAGCCCAGTCAACATATTTGTAAAGTGACATTGTATTCCTTCTTACTTAAAGGTACTATGTCCCATTTGCAGGCCAAAAAAATGAAAAAGTTAAATTCCAACTGCATTTGAAAGATAATACTAATTTAGAACTTCCCTAAACAAAGTGGGGCTTAAAAATGTCTTCAAGTGGGAAAATAACGACTAGATCTATTAGTTGTCAAATCGACTTTAGGGCTATAGGCCTAGAGCCCAAAAGTAATAGTCTTGATTTTCAGACAACTGTACCGAATGGTCATAGAGGTCTACGTTTTATGCTGCGCAAAGATTCAATCAGTTTAATCTTGGCCATCACAAGAAGTGGGTTATTGATGTAGATCTAGACAAATGCTCATGTACCCTTTACAACTCTTTTCATGTATTTTATGACCAAAGAAGAAAAAAAAGCCAGTCAGTCACTCAGTAGTGTCTGACAGTGAAGTCTAGCAAGTAAACGGGTTTCCTTGCATAATTTGAATATGAGGACACTGCTAACATTTAAATTTCACAGATAGGACATAGGTCTAGGCCTACATGACATAGGCTAGACCCTATTCATAATTCCTGCAAAGTTCTACAGAATTTGAGGTTGGCTGCAAAAGGGACATAGATCTAGTACCTTTAAGTTCTAGATCTACTAGATCTAGTTTTACTAATACTAGACATAAAGTTAGATCTAGATCCAACATAAAATAGACTTCCAAATTGCCAGAGTCTATAGCTACTGTGGATTAGTACAGCAACGTTAGTCCAATAACTGTTTAACACCGTAACTTAGCTCCGTCTCGCCCAGTACACTACAGTGCACAACGTGTGAATCTAAGTAACAAAACACTGTGGTAGTACTAGTAGCTGTAACACTTTGTAAATTGTAACACATTAACTGTTATCTAATTAAGTTAACGTTACTGTAAAACTTGAAAGAAAAAGCATTGTAAAATTACCTCTCGCTTTCCAACGCAACGCCAGTACTCTGAAGGTACCGTAGATAATCAAGTCTTGACTCTTCTCCTCGGACAGCTGTCAACGTAGCTTTTTGGGTGCAACAAATTCAAGATTCAAGATTCGGCACGTGCTGTCGATGGGAAATCTATTGTTTACAAAACACCCAAACATGGGGATTATAGAAGTATAGTACACACGTAGGTAGACATGTCCGCCGCGCTCCGTGGGAATTTCTTAGAAACTAGCTCGACACATCGCCCGTGCGGGATTATTAACTTCTTAGAAATCGGTTCAACGCATAGTCTTACTCCCAGTCTGTGATGGACGCGGGACGCGCATTTAAAGATTCGTTGTACGGGATGGGGGGAGGGGGAGGGGGCAGGGTGAGGGTGGGGGTAAAGACATTTAATTGCTGTACTGTTGGGACAACCTCAAAATTAGAACTTTACAAGATCGAGTTCGATCCATCGACCTCAAGTCTCCAGCTTTTATTTTATTGTTGTTTTTGTTTACGCCACTCCCGCTAGTCTGAGTCTATATAATTCTATACAGTACAACGTAGGCCGAGGTGCCTCTGCCCTCGACTCCAACGTCGAACAAGTGAGATGCCAACTAAAGGGTGTAATAAGAAACTAAATCATTAATTTGTTGGGTTTTTTGCATTTCGAAAATTATATGAGCCTCGATCTGCAGGACCACTTTTCGTTAAAAAAAAAAAAAAAAAAAAAAAAAATTGTAAAGTGCACAGGCTTCACACACTTCAAATGGGTGTTTCCACATGTTACCTGCATGTATACACCCCCTGTCATCCTAGCTGACATGGGTAGGGTTAGGGTTATGTTTAAGATTATGCTTAGAGTTAGGGGTGTAAGGTGAGGTCAACAAATGGAAACACCCCCATTTGAAGTGTGTAACGTAGGCTATGCATCTTTACGATTTGCATTATTTTTACGAAACTTGGCCCTATATACAGCCCTCTCCCCTCCCAATACATTTTAACACAGGTCACATTTCAGCTAGGTCTCTATCGAGAAAAAAAAAATCAGCTCGCGTGCACTTCAGTTTGAAAATTTGCTCATACGAAGAACAAAGGCGGATTTGGGGCTAATGGCCCTATCTTGGAGAGGGGTGTGTGCGGATGGGGGGGGGGGGCTCAGACAATGAACAACCACCAAATTTTTGGGTGGGGTACATTTATCACTAAGCCACTTATAATTTTGGTGTGGATCAAATATTATAGAGCCCTTACCCCATTGTTTTTTTGTTTTTTTTTGGGGGGGGGGGGGCTCAGATATCATTGTGTCTACCATATTTTTGTTGGGAATCGACTATCATTGAGCTCCTCTCTCCTCCGAAGATATTTTAACAAAAGTCAAATTTCAATTCTCTTTCAAGGAAAAAATTTCCATCCGCGTTATGAGTTCCCACAAAATATTGGGGGGGGGGGGGGGCTCAGAAATAATTTCTTATCCAAATTTTAAAAAAATCATCTCGCATGACTTCATTTTTTTTTCTTTCTTTCTTTGTGGGTGGAGTTCAGATATCATTGAGCCCATCATATTTTGGGTGGGGCTCGGATTGAGCCCCCCCCCCCCCCTCCTCCTAATTTATTTTAACACAGGTCAAATTTCGGGTCTTTATCGGGCAAAAAAAAAATCGTGCCCATGTTATGCATTCTAATATATCAGGGGCAGGGTTTTTTTTTAGTAGGAACAAACTAAGACGGATTTGGGGTTAAGCCTGCCCCTTCTATCTTTCAGAGGGGTGTGTGCGGAGGGGGGGGGGGGTGGCTCAGACATTAATTGAACAACCACCAATTTTTTTTGGTGGGGGACAGTTATCTCTAAGCCACTTATAATTTTGGTGTGGCTCAAATATTACTGAGCCCTCTCCCAATTTTTTTTTTTTTTGAGGGGGGGGGGGGGGCTCAGATATCATTGTGTCTACCATATTTTTGTTGGGAATCGATTATCATTGAGCTCCTCTCTCGATCCTCCCAAAAAAGGATAACATTTCCACCCGTGTGATGAGTTCCCCCAAAATATTGGGGGGGGGGGGAGCTCAGATATCATTCTTTTATCAAAAACACAACAAAAAAAACAGCTCGCATGACTTCATTTCGATTTTTTTTTTTTTTTTTTTTTTTTTTGGGGGGGGGGGGTGGTTTTTACGGTGGAGTTTAGATATCACTGAGCCTAGCTTATTTTGGATGGGTCTCGGATTGAGCACCCCCCCCCCCCTCCTCATAATATATTTTAACACGGGTCAAATTTTAGGTCTTCAGGGGAAAAAAAATGAAGCCCGCATTATGCATTCAAATATATCAGGGGCAGATTTAAAGGAGATTATAAGAAAATGAATTTAACGAATGGGCTCCAAAATTAAATTATAAAAAGTGTTGGAAGTGAAGGTTTAACTAACATGTTTGTTGTTGCTTAGACCTATTCTTACAGTGACGAATCCATGCAGGGGGCGCAAGAGGGCGCAAGCCCCTCCTTTCTTTCTTGTTGTTGAGAATCACACATTGAACATACTAAGAAAATTTCCTTCTGCGCCCCCTCTTTATTCAAATTTGCCGTCTGCACCCCCTCTATTTCCAAATCCTGGATCCACCGCTGTTCTTTTAAAATGAGGGATCAACGGCCAACAAAGTTTTTAAATTATGATTTTTGCTTTGAAATCAGCCTCTGTTACTCCGCCTTGATGGTGTGTGTTTGTTCTCGAGGGGGGGGGGGGGGAATCCTGTTCGTACCCGTTTTGGGGCACTTTATAAATTAAATTTGGGTTTATGCCCCCCCCCCCCCCCCCCCCCCCCCGCCGCCTGACAGTAGTAATATGAATAGTTGTAAATCACGTACGGTTTTAGTTTAGGATCGGAGTAGAAGTAGAATAATAGATAATAATGATAACCAGAGGATTGTGACACATTGTTACAATTATAAGTTAAACTTGACACATGAAGTCATTACAAAAACAACTTCAACAACAAGTCTAGGATTATGTTTTCTGGGCTCTCCTATGTTACGTAACAAACAAAGGGGTACTTGGACCACGCTCTGTCACCCCATTCATAAAACCGAAATGGTTGTTTAACAGTTTGAGAGAGCTAGTCTTGCTCGCAGTCACTTGAGTGTGACTTTCGCCGTTTTCTTCTGTAATTCTGAACTTTTTCTTCTTAATTCTTCTTTTTCCTCTCCTTCTTCTTCTCCTTCTTTTTTTTTCTTCTTCTTCTTTTAGAAATGTCTCACTATGTGAGACTAAGATTAGGCGCATATACTTTTGGGGTAATAAATAAACCTCGGCCCAGTCATCCAAAGTGAGTCAAATATGATATGATTTATAAATGGGGCGCCAAATAACTAAATCATTAAATTAATTTCTTTCTTGTTTGGTTGCTGCCTGCAATTGTCTAAAACTAAGCGAGAAAAATATGCAGTCATGAAGGCATAACATAATTATCTTCCTAGCTCTTAGTCCTCCATGGTATTATGAGTCAACTTTAAAAGAAAATGAGGGATCGCCGAAATGTTTCCAATTTGCTTTGAAACTACATTGAAAATTGAAAATAAAAATGACATGCTGTTTACAATGAACGATTTGATTAAGCTATGCACTGGCATATCACAGCTATAGTTACAATTTATTTGACAAACTAGTAACCCCCCCCCCCCCCCCCCCCCCCCCCCATCACAAAACAACAATAAGTTCACTGCGTGCCTGGGGATTACATGCTTGCCTTCAAGAAATTAGATGATGATACTGAGCTCTTCTATTTTACATAACAAAATAAACAAAGGGGTACACTTCCTGTCCCCCATTCACAACGAAACACCAATCGGCAATGGTCGCGTGCGAAAATTTGCATAACAAGTGATAGATCGAGGGCTTATATTGGTATAGTGTAGACTCATTTGCATATGAATAGTCTGCATTCGCCCCGTCGTGTTTAAAGCATTACTAATCTCTCTAATAGTCTAGAGTATTCACTTCGCTTTCTGTCAGTTTAAGCTTGCCTTGACGACTTGTATAGATACTCAAACATTCCTCTATTATATAGTTAGTTGGCATTTTAGTTTAGTAAGCATCTATTTTGCTCGAAAAAGTCATCGATATCGTCGATTCGTTAAAAGTGCCTTGATCCAGACTATATTAGTTCAACATGTGGTGGCTTGAGCGAAAGCAGAACCAGTTGTTCCTGATAGTGAATGGACGGAGGGCATTCAGCCGAAACAGGAATGTCGAGTTTCCCGACGTCATCAGCATGATTTGCGTCGCTACCACTTCATCTACTGAAGACAGCATACAGGTGAGAAACTTACATAACCTACTAGAATAATCTGCAGTTCGTGTTTCTGACATGGTTACTCTTTAAAAAAATGCAACCTTGCAACAATGCAAGTCAAGACATGATTGATAGACATTCTAACTGTTGGACAAGTGCAAATGAAATCATTTCAAATGGTGTGCAGCACTGCCTGCAAGTGCAAGTGCAACGTAGACTTTCAACGTAGGGATTAAGATCTAACTTTAACTCAACAACAGTTAACTGTCAGTTCAGTTATCTATTTATCTCAGATCTCTAAGTTCGGTTTAACAAACTAGTGTTAGACCTATTTTTTTATGTATATCACTTATCTATTCTAGCACTATAGTCGTACTACTAGTACTAGTAGAGTCTATAGTAGCTTGCTGGGACTGGTTTGGTTGAGCTGGTTGCATGTGACCCGGGCTTAGAATATATATTATTTTATAGTGTCTAAGTTAAGTAGATTAGATCTAGACTAAGCCAATTAAAACTTAACGTCAGTAGTAAGTAAGTTGTGTCTGCTATTTTGTTGTTCAAAGACACTAGTTGTCACTATGTAAAGAAATATTCTGGTTGAGGTCAAATAGAGTCTATGTGAAATGAGTTTGACAGAGCATTAAACCATTAATTATTACTCCATCGTGATTGAGATCTCAACTATAAATCTAGGTAGAGGTCTCTATTTAAACTGAAATCACATCAAATTCAGACTTGGTTCAGGTCATGAGACAGTTCGGCTGACTGTCTACTAGCGACCAAGTCTTGAAGCCTAGCCTCCACCAAATTATTTCTTGTGACCAGTATAAATGTAACCAATTATATCCCTGTTACACATGTACACAAAAAATATTTACAAAAACGATGAATTTTATTTCATCTAATCACAGCAAAAACTTACATGCCATATGCAAAAATGGATCTATGAATACATGTAGATCTGGGTAAACTAATATAGGGTTTCAAACTCTCTGCATCTGCATAACATATGAAATTATATAATGAGCCAGGAAAAATTAATTTCCTTCAATATAATTTTTAATCAAAATATCTTCAAAGCTTTTTGTATCCCAGGATGTAATTCAAAATATTGCTAGAAAAGTGATTGAGTTCATGTTTGGTTCTTTAATTAACAATCGCACAGATCCAGGTGTGCAGAGAGATATCCAATTGGATTTTCGTCTTGGGAGCCGACCCAAGCTAGCTAGATCTAGTAATTATCAGTAAAAGTTTGGTGAATATTTGATAAAGGATTTATTACAAAGTTTTTTTTAAACCCAAATTAAAACTCTGCGATGAACTTTTATTGTGTGCTAAAATTGAATGAATTCATAATTTCTTGAACACAATTTATTCATGCCTGTGCCATATGTTTTCACACACTTTTAGATTTTTTACTTTATCAACTACCATGGAAACGTCTACAAAAATGTGATAAGAATTTTTAAGTTACATGTCCGTCACAGAGTTGTAGATTTTTGTTTGATTGGAAATTAAAATTTGTATAACATTGCTTATAATCCGTTTTCAGATTTTGTCAGATAACTATCATCAAGCTGTCAACCTGATTTTTCTGCTTATTCATAAAAATCAATATATATTATTTGTGTAGACTTTCCTGTTGAATATTTCTGACTCATTCAAAACCTTCACTGATTGGTTTCTCTAACTTCAATTAGTTTACCCATATTTTGTGTGTCCAGTCGAGTCACATAGCTAAAACATACCTGACACATAGTGGAAGACTTTATTATCCCCTCGCGGATGAAGTCAGAGGGGATATAGTAAAGCTGCCGTCCATCCTTACTTCCGTGCTTCCATAACAAATGGTTTTCTTTTGATAACTGTAGATGTGTTTTGCAGAGTTTAATAAAATTTGATTTGAAGGTGCATGCATGGTATAAAGTACAGCCTAAGGTCGATTTTAGAGTATGTAGGTCAAAGGTCATAGCTCATTAAATATGCGAAAATAGCAAATTATGGCTTCAGTTCGTTAACTTTAGTAAAGTTCAATGGATTTTAATGAATTTTGGTATGACGTCATGGAATCAAAATTCAGCCCGAGTTTGATTTCGGAGTATATATGTCAAAGGTCATAAGTCTTTAAATATGTTAAAATGTAGTTTCCGTTCGATAGCTTAAGTACCGGTAATGTTTGACTTATTTTAATGAAATTTGGTATGAAGGTACATGGATCAAAATACAGCCTGAGTCTGATTTTGGAGTATGTAGGTCAAAGGTCATAAGTCTTTAAATATGCGAAAGTGTGGTTTCCGTTCGATGTTTAAAGGGGAAGTCCACCCTGAAATTAAGTTGGGTTTAATAAAAGCAGAAGAATGAGAGAAACATATCATTGAAGGTTTGACGAAAATCCATCAAAGGATAACGAAGTTATGAATTTTAAATTTTTAATTTTGTGACGTCACTTCCGAGCTGCTCTTCCATATGTTGTGTACTGTAATTTCCATAAATTGCCCCCTTTTCATGGTTCTTGATGAAGGAATGGATCTATTTCATAGAGGCGTGTATAAAAGCATGTGTCTGATAATATATCGAATGCACAGGTAAAATAATTATTATTTTTCTGAGAAAATGGCAATTTATGGAATTTACAGTACACAACGTATAGGAGAGCAGCTCGCATGTGACGTCGTCACAAAATGAAAACTTTAAAAATTCATAACTTTTGTATCCTTTGTCGGATTTTCGTCAAACCTTCACTGATATGTTTCTCTCACTGTTCTGCTTTTATTAAAAACAACTTAAGTTCAGGGTGGACTTCCCCTTTAATGGATTTTTATAAAATATGGTATGAAGGTACTGTACATATTGTATAAACATACAGCCTATTAAGTTTGATTTCAGAGTATTTAAGTCAAAGGTCATAGCTCATTAAATATGCAAAATAGCTTACTATGCATCTGAATATGCGGTTTCCATTCAGGGGCCGCGGAGCGTTTTTTGAAAGTGGGGGGGGGGGGGGCGGATCATGCAAAAAAGCACAATCTTATAGTCATTTTCGCGTTTTTGTACACGTCTACTGAAAAAAGTGGGGGGCTGCAGCCCCCCTTAATCCCCGCGGCTCCGCGGCCCCTGCCATTCGATAACTTTAGTAATGTTTGTCAGATAATCCCCTTGCGGAGGAAATCTGAGGGGAAAATAGTAACGCTACTGTCCGTCCTTCCGTCCGCCTGTAACAAATCTTGTGAACACGTACTGGTTTCCGTTTGATAATTTAAAATGTTTGACAGATTTTCATGAAATTTGATATGAAGGTACATGCATGGTATCAAATACAGCCTAAATTTGATTTTGGAATAATGTACATTAGGTCAAAGGTCAAATGTCTTGGGTTATTCCGTAAAGTAGTAAACTTTCTTTTCATTCAATCCCCAGATGTCAGTAACTTAATTCCGTCTAATGGACGTACATGTAACTTGTTCTGATGTATTATGCCGTTTGTTTCCAGCGAGGGCTTGCTACGCGCTTTGTTGTCCTTGTGTTGTATTTTTTGTATTTGATGTGATGATGCAGAGAGTGTTTTTTTTATACAAAGTACTTTTTTTTCTAAATGGCCAATGTTGGTTAAACATGGAACTTACATGTAGGAAAGTATACCTAACAAACTGAAAGTTTCCCCACTAAGTCATACATACATGGTCACATTGCCAATGGGAGGGTCTCCATACTTGTATATACTTTTAAAAACTCATATTTGTTTGATTTTTCTACATTCATCCAAACCAAATTTCTATGAAAGATTCAATTTCCCTTTAAGCTTTAAGCTGACATTAACCATCTTAGATTAGATTAGATTTTTTAAAGAGATATTTAAAAGAGGATTAACCTAGCTAGACTATGTACTGGGCGACATTCAAAGTTAGTCTTATACCTTTTGACATAGCGATTGACAATGTATTTCTGTAAATCAGCATATTGTATTATGAAAGTTTATGAATTCTTGAAAGAAAGAAAGTATTCTGAATTCTCAACAAAAACAAACAAAATAAAAAAGTCTCCAAAAAAAATTTTCTTCAGAATTTCAGGATTCTCAAAAACAAAAAAAAACAAACACATCTAGAATTCTCTAAAGAATGTTTTTTTTAATTCCCTTTTTGGAGAAATCTGAAATTCATGAATGGGAGGGGGGTTTGTATTTAGGAGTCTATTTACTATAATAAATAGTGAATGTTCTATCATGTACACTATAAATACTGGACTATGAACTCCAAATACTAAATTATCCCTCGTGCAGGTTTATTTTGACTCAGGATAATTTAGTAATTTAGTCGGACATATAATTCATTATTGTATGATAGAGTATACACTATTTATATAATAGTTCACGACTTACTTATGCAGATGGTCCTTACAAGGGTGCTATAGGTTATACTGGCTTTAAACGGGACAGAAACAGAACTGTATACATAATTGAGTCCTGAAATCGTACCGGTGGTACTCGAACTGTCCAGGCTCCTAACCTAGAATGCAGCATCCTGATAATGTAGTCTTATAATATATGCACACTTAAATGATTACAAATTTTTCCTCTATTCTTTATGACATTCATACCACAAATATGTTACCAAACTTGTAACAAATTAGTACAATGCCCTTCCATACATTCCTGTTTTCCATTATAAATCCAATTATACAGGTATAATTTATACTGAAATGTACAATGTATTGTAAAGGTATCAAGACTAGCTTTATGCCATATTACTGGACTACCCACCTAGTGCTAGCCAACCTGAGAGGATGGTGCACCATTAAAAGTTTCAATCACTGATGACATGGAATATCTCATATTGGCAACGCAGTCACTTTTTGTGATGTCATACAAGGAGAACTCTCCCACATGTACAAAAATATGTGAATTTCATTTTTTTCCTCAGTCAATTCATAGAACAGAATTTTTGTCCAAGTCCTCCTATAAAAGAGGTGATTTTAGTGCAATATCTGCAAAAGAAATTGGAAAGTTTTTCATGTATGATCTCCATATTAAACATTAGTAATCATAACTTTTTTTTAAATTCACGTCTTTACTCATTAATTGACTGTTTTTGCTTCAACTTAATTTCACTGACATTTATGTTACTTTAATTTTCTGCATTCTTACAATTCAATTGTCTCTGAGGAGTTTATTCTCCTTTATAACGAGGGCAGAATCTAAACTCTACCGCAGTGCAAACTGTTGAAAGTTATACATCCCATACTTGTATCGCAATTGTATTAATGAAAATTCATCTAATTAATGAGAGTGCAAAATATAGGTTGTTTCTCTAAACATAGAGGTATATAGTCTGTACTGTTTGTACATTTCGGAGGAAATCGACTTACTAAAAGTTTCTGAATGTCCTGTGCATGCACATTTGTTGTATGTTACATGACACGATCATCAGGCAGACTACAACTTCACTCTTGATTTCTCAAGGGGAATTGTAATTTGTATATTATGCAAAACATATCTACCCTAGCTACATGTACATGTACAACAAAGAAATATGAGTAAAAATTGGCATTCAAGGAAAAAGGGATCTTTTTTTGCATGTTCCCCCGCCAAAAGAAGTTTGAAGGGGGTATACATGTACATAGGAATTGGCGTACGGTCGGGTTGTCGGGCGGTCAGTCGGTCAGTCTGTTGCAAATCTTGTGGATCGAACTACTTCCTCATTTTTTGAGCAATGATCATGAAACTTGGCACACATATTGGTCTTAGGATGGAGATGTGCAAGACATACTTTTTTACTGTGTTGGATACTGCGTTGCCATGGGAACGGCATATTATTGTAATATATCGGGGGAAAATCTCGTGGATCGAACTATATACATGTATACTTCCTCATTTTTTTGAGCAATGCTCATGAAACTCGGCACACATATTGGTCTCCAGTTGATTATGTACAAGACATTTTTTTTAATGTGTCGGAAAGTGCGTTGCATTGGTAATGGTCTGTTATTGCAATAAATCTGTAAAATCTTGCAGATCAAACCACTTCTTCATTTTTCGAGCAATGCTCATTAAATTTCGCACAAATATTGGTCTTGAGTTGATTATGTGCAAGACACATTTTTTAATGTGTCGGAAAGTGTGTTGCCATGGTAATGGTCTATTATTGCAATAAATCTGTAAAATCTTGTATATATCAAACCACTTCTTCATTTTTCGTGCACACACATGGGGAGTGAGTATTAATCACTTTCGGTGATATTTCTAGTTCTAGGCAAACATGTAGAACATTCAACTGTATCCCTTATAATCTTTGTGTGAGGTTGTCAAAGCAAAATGAATATAATTTCATTAAGCAGCTTATATTAATGCCTGTATTTGTCCGATTTACTTTCTTCCCAGGTCTGTTTTAGTAATGGTCTTTCTACACAGGCAAAGTTTTGCCAAATGAGTGTCACAAACATGGCAAAGACTTTGAAAAAAACGGAGAACAGCCTGACCGATGTTTTGTCAGTGATGGCGATCGTTAATGACGACATGATCTATTCATTTCCGTCATCAGAGGAAGAACTCCTTCCTTCTCAATCTTACACACAATCGAGGCAAAAACGTAGCAGTTCTGGATCTAGCAGCGACGGAACTCCACCAGAACGTAAGAGACGAAACAAGACTTCTGAACATTCGGCGGAGAATTCAGATGCAGCAATTGAACAAAAATGTCAAGGTTAGTTTGTGTTCCATTCTTTTACAAAATTCATTTCACTAATAATTCCAGACGTACAACATTTCTCTCTACATGATATCACTAAGTTTAAATGTGATGTTATTGATTGGCAGTTTTTAAATCAAAGAGAAATGCAAATATCATGGAGAGAATGTGTACAAAATAGTTTATCAATATAACAGCACTGAAAGCCTGATAAAATTGGGACATTCCACTTTTATTATTTGATTTTGTATAACTTCAAACAATTTTTAAATGGACTCCTATACAAATACCACAAATATTTCCATTTTTTTCATCAAAACTACAATCTCCTTTTTCTTATTGTTTATGAAGTACATGTTTGGGGCCAAATTGATTATTTAATGCCCCTCTGCAATAGCCACAGGGAAGGTAAAATGGCCAACTGCTGATTAAAACCAAAATAAAGTTGAAAAATGATTAATTGCCAATTCCCCAAAACAATGTTCATATGTTGCATTTTCCACATAAGGCAAAATGAGATTGAATTGAAAAGGGCTATAGGAATATTTTTTGTATAGCTCTAGGACAAAATTTCCCTGATGAGCCTCTGTGTGTTTTGATCCAGTTACTAATAATATGTATCAGGGCCCGTTGCATAAAGACTTACTATTATGGTAACTACCATAGAAACCTTGATTTCGATTGGCTGCTGAGCCCGGTTACCATGGTAGTTACCATAATGGCAAAGTTACCATAATAGTAAGTCTTTATGCAACGGGCCCCTGGTGTCATTTTCAAAATGTAGATTGTTCTCTGCACAGGGGATATTATTTATAAACATTAAAGATTTAAATGTCACAATCTTTGAAAATGTGTCATTGACCTGAAATTTTATTTCTTTACATGTAGGCATTTCTGAAATCTCCCTCAAAAAACTTGTGGAGCCCGAGAAGGATCTCCAGAGACCACGTACCAGGAAGGAAGTGATGGAGGCCAAACAGTTCGTGATGAAGGCAGCAACCCACTTCCAGAGCTCCCATGTCCTTCCAGTCCTCGCAGTAGATGGCCCTTCTGGAACAGCTTACCAGCTCCTAGGAGGGGTGTGCTATGCTCTTGCAGCTAAGGATCTTGTTGACGATGAAAGGTATTTTATTCTATAAAAGTTACCCGTTTTTGCAATTGCTTTTTAATGTTATTTTTGTTTCTTTTTGTAGTTACAGTGTATGAGACAAAGGTTAAATTTTTAAAGGGATTATGTGATGTACTTACCGATATTATATGTACAGAACATATTCATTTATCACTTGTCTTTTTTTTTTCTCCATTTATTATGCAGTCCACAAATATGTAGTGGAAGCATGTAACATAAAAGAAATGCTACCCAGGTAGTCAATGTACCATTTGGGAAGAAAAATGGTAATAGAGAGGTGTTCCATTTATAGTTATACAATGAAGGGTATATTAAGGACAATACAAAATATTTTTAGATCCCTGACTCAAATAAAATCCCATAGAATATTTCCCTTGTGTACCATGTTCATATTTGTTTTCTTAAAAAGTGTGTGACTGCATGGAAAGGTATACCGTGTAAGCTTTTTTCCAATATTTTATTCTGCATGATACATATATACACCATGTTTCTATATCCTACCCATCTCAATATCCTATAACCAATATACTTTTTCTGATTGCTTTAGATATGAACATCTATCTCGTGGATGGCGCTGCAGGGTGTACCAAAACCTGGACAAGGTTGAGGCATTGAGAGTGGCATCACTGCATAGGTGTGGGCAACCTGCTGTAGACAAGCCGTGCTTGCAGGAGGAGGTTGCTGTCTGCAGGTCAATTCTATACGATGACAACAACCTTGATGTGGAGGATGAGCCCTGCACTATGACTGCCTCGACAAGACGCAAGTGTTCCCTAGCCCTTGGGAAAAATGGCTCCTTCAATGTAAGTCTAAACACTAGAGCTGACATTTTCATCTGACATTTTCATCTAGATAAAATGCTGAATTCATTCAATGTTCTATTTTTACTTGTAGCGAAGTAGGTTTTTTTTTTAATGAAACGATGAATCGGACATTAAATTAGATTTATGTTCAGCATAAAAACTCATGAACATCACCCAACCCCCCAATAAAAAGGTTATTGTTATATTCAGCCAACTTACATGTACATGACAAAATGGAGTTTAATCAATGATTGATTTGAGATGATCGAGCTTTCAAGAGTGACTGTTGGAAACATAAATTTTAGCCAAAAAGTTCTAACATTTCTTATATTTTAACTTGAGGGGTCATATTACAATATGGTGAATTATGTAATGCAATGGTGATTGCAGTGAATGAATTGGAATGTTCAGAATCAAACTGGTTATGAGAGCATATATTATCCATTTCTTTTTTTGTTGTAATTTACAGGCACTGAGGGCTCTCGAGCCAACTTTCCAGTTGGCTAGTTATTCAAACAGATGCTACAGGAAAGCCACTCTCCTTTTCGATGCAACTAGAGAATCTACTGGAAAGGATTTGAAACAATGTGTAAGTAAGCTTTAAATTTTTTTTTTTTTTTTTTTTTACACATTTAAATATCATCTTGAGTAATGAAGGAAAGCATTTTTTTTCTTCATAGAATCGAACAAAACTTGACTTGCGAATGTTCAAAACTTTTTGGTAGAAAATGTATATTATTGCTGAGTAATGAGCTATATGAAAAATACAAAAATTGAGCTGGACTGGATGTCACACATACCACATGTTTTCTGTGCAAATGAGAATTGTGGTTTATTCAGCCGCTATAAGGAGTTTATCAAATCATCACAACCAAAGTAAATAAAGTAATATAGCGCCACCATTGGCGGATACCCTATTCTGACTGGAGGGGGGGGGGGGGGGGGTTCAATTTCCTGTTCAAAATCTGTGACTGATGCGCAATGGCTGCAAATAGCGACACGGCTTCCGGTGACTTTTTCTGACTTTTTTTGTTTGTCTCGCAACTTTTGAGACCGAGTTCTAAAAATTAACAATAAAATCAACTTTTTGCATAGGTACGTTCGTGTACAAAATACTGCTTTTCCTAAATTGCTTTACAACACTGTTAATTGTGCCTTCTAGTCTTTTTGCCTGACCATACTTGTCTTGAAACTTTTCAAGATACACTTTTGAAACATGAAAAAAATCACATATATAAATGAAAACAATAGATACATAAGTAGTTTATGAAACAATAGAATACAAAAGAATTGATCGGAAATTTCATTATTTATTATTTCAGTATTGTTGCCTATGCTATTCAGCAACTTTAAAAAAGAGATTGAGCTTCATAACTTAATGAAATATTAATGAATATGTTAAAATAGGTATCTAATTTGCATAAATTATAATAAAGTAACAAATTTGTGATAAAAACAAATCTGTATTGACGTCCTTGCAATATTTCGCATTAAGCTTGCACTCAAAGTGAGAATAGGGTTAAAGCAATAGTTTTTTACATATTCAAATCAAACAATAGATGAATTGGGGATTCTTTGCAGAAGAATTGACTTTGATTGAAAAAGTTGATAGTTCATATATATGCAAATAAAATTTGTCTTCTGACAGTGAGCAACAATACTTCACGTGCACTAATAACTACTCTTATTATTTTCATTTGTCTTATTTTATAGTGTTTCATGAAGCTACAAGGACTCTCAGAAGAGGAGCGATATTCACTTCTTCTGGAGGCGACCTTGTCTTTGAATGTTAAAAAGATGAAGGCGGATGCCGATGAACTGAAGGCAATGAAGAGTCTGAAGAGCGTGTTTGCTAAGGGAGTTGGGGCTAAGACGTGGGAAGAGGCGATAGAAAGATACCCAACCTTCACTTCAGAAGCAGCCCTGGAACCCTATGTTGGTATGCACAAATCATGGCTTCGTATAATGTCTATTGAAGAGAATATTGAGCCCCAGCAAGATATACAATAATTGCTATCCTGTATCTCCATCAATCCAAATTTTAAAGTTTAGATGAACTAGTAGGGTTGACTATTCTGACTGGGGGGGGGGGGGGGGTCAATTTGGCCCCTGCCTCCCCGTACACAATCCAGGACTGCCACGTAACCGCTACAAATCACAACCTGCCTTTCAATGACTTTATTGTCTCGCAACTTTTGAGACCAAATTTGCCCCAAAATTGGGACAGTCCATGCTAGAGGTTATGCAACATTACTTAACCACACGTCTAGCCACAATTGACATTTTGCATAGTACGTTTGTGTACAAAATACTGCCTTTTCTAAATTGTTCTATAAAACATGTCAAGTTCAAATGTGGGTCAAAGGCAACAGGTCAAAAGGAAAACAGACTTTCCTTGGGATTCCATTATTGCTAAAGAGTAAACTACCAGAACCCAAAATTCACCTCCTGATCTGCTTATAGGGCCTAAGATGCAGGCAAGACAACGCTTGGCGTTTGCCTTGTTTAATGATATATTATTGAATGTGTTAAAATAGGAATTTAATTTGCATGAATTATAATAAAGTAATAAATGAGTGATTTTTTAAAAAACAAACATCAAAGCAACATTTCTTTGCATGTGCATTGCTGTCCATGCAAAATTTCCCATCAATCAGACCTTCTGTGGCCAAGATATTGTGGGGGGAGGGGGGGGGGGGTCAAATTGACTCCGGAGCTCTATGATCAATGTATATGTATTTTTTTTCAGGTAAAAAGTATACAAAAGGTAACATCCCAGAGGTCTTCCTGGAGCACATCAGCAGGGCCAAGAGAGACATGGACATGAATGCAGACGACATCCCAGCCCTTATGATACAAGAACTAGAAGAGGTATTGTCCCATATTCTTAAGGTTCCAAAGCACTTATTTGTAGGCACTTGGTAATTGAAAGAGGTAAACTGAATTTCACATAAAACAAATCTCAAAATTGTGAGTTTAAAATATCTCAAAGTTGTAATATTGTAATCTATAAGGAACTCAAGGTTAAGGGATTTACATGGAGAATGATCTTATGCTGATGAAAAATCATTGGTAATTTGTCATTGATAACAAAAAACAAACAATTATATTCATGGCATAGAAATTGCAATTTTCCCACAAGTCATATATTACGTACAATGGCACTTTCGCCCAGACGACTGGCATGGAAAACTGCACCCACATGCTATTTCATCCTATTTTCAAATTTGATTTTTCTATTTTGATTCAACATAGCAAATGTTAAGCTGCAGATAATTATGAAAAGGGTATAAAAAAAAAAAACAGTTTCCAGAACTTTGCATTGTGTATATTATCTGGGCTCAACATATTAGAATTATAGTTAATTTGTATGTCTTTCCTTTTTATTTGAATTTCTGATATTACAGGATATCCAGTTATCCTCAACACCATCGGCTACTACCAGAATCTTCCTGACAAAGGACATCACAGCGATATCCAAAGTGGTCAGCCAACATACCCGACACGATGTGCATATATTGCATATTGTCCAGTCCCCAGTAGGAGATATTCAAGGTAACTATGCATGTTCCATGTCTTTTATTAAATATCTTATGAAGCTGACTGTTATTTCGGTATTCAAAGCAACATAACAAACGTTTTTGTGGTTGTGTAATAATGAGATAGCTGCAGTGTGTGTTAAAAAAATATAAATTATTAAGAAAGAATGTTACCGTATAACTTCCAGTGTGTTAGATTGGCTGCTCGATCTGAATGAAAATTCTTTCTTAAGAAATCCTCCTATGAAGCTCAACATTCATATAAATTTTTGTTTATATCACTTGGATTTTAAATATAATCTTGAGTTCTGGTAATGACAGAAATTAACTTCTGACAGAATCCAATGACATTTACAATGAATGTTCAAAACTTCAAAAAATAATGATTACTGAATGCTTTTGGGGGAAAAAAAACATATAATAGCTGACTAATGCTGAACAAATGAAGATAAGATGCTTGCCATGTGATCTCAAACACATTACCTCCAAAGCAAGCTAATTATATTAATTAGACAACTGCGGAGTAATTGTGAAACAAATGCATTTCTAATGTCTGGGTTTTTATTCCTAAAGAAAAAGGTGCATTCAGAACTCAAAAAAATCACATTGTATCTGTTTGAAAAGAAATTGTGCCTCATGTGAAAAATCACATGTATGTATATTCGTTTTACTTCTATAGGAAATTAAGGCTTATTCATACTGTTCTAAGTAGCCATATAAAATGTGCATATATATTTTATCAACAGATGTCAACCATAATGTCTGTGCAGTATGTATGGTATTGTCGAGTCTAGGAGGAGGGGTGCTGGCACTAGCCAACTCTACATGCCATCAAGATCAGACTTCTACAATATGCAGTGGAGCATTTCACTTCTATTGATGAAGTGGTTCTTGACGTTGGAGACGGTAAGACATTTTATCTATATACAGATCCAATTAAATTATGATACAGTTTTAGAATAAATGGGTAGATTAAATATATAGAGATACCAATAAAGCAACATGAATACAAAAATAAAATAAAATGTAAGGAAAGGAAAGTTGTGAAATAACGTCCAAATTGTGTAAATTCAAATTGGCTTTTTTCAATTCAAGTATATATTACCTATTTTTCACTATCCATAAATTCTAGACGCATAATAACTGACATTAATAGCATCAAAGTTGCCCAGTGTTGCACAACAAAGATTTTAGTCACGAGACTTGGGGTCGTGCAAAATCATGGTCAATATCAATAAGCAACCCTGTGCCTTGTCGGAAATTTGTGTTAACCCTAACTTTACCGGAAAGGTCTCAGATGGCGCCCCCCCCCCCCCCCCAGACAAATTTTGTTGTCAAACCCATTGCATTTTCAGCAATAGCTAGCGCTTCATGATTTTTTTTTCAAGTGTTATAAATCTTATGACACTGAGGTGTTGAAAATCAGACCTTTCATGATAAAAGGTCGAGCCGATTTTTTTTTTTTTTTTTTTTTTTTTTTTTCTTCCAGTTTTCCAGTAGAATGCAAAAAAAAAAAATGTTCATAAAACATTGAAATACATAAGAATTGAAAAATATGCAAAAAAAAAGGCATATAAAAACTGTTTGAGAAGAAATGAACTGTGTAAAAGCTTAAAGACTTGAGATGACATTGTGAGCATATAATTTAAAAAAAATCCAAGTCAAGAGAGATATAGAGAGCTTTATATCTTCTCAAAAACTCTGAAACCAAAAACAATTTGGAATGAAACATTTTAGATAGGTTACAAACAGAGATTTTTTATATATATTCTCACCAGGAGAGAAATTAAAACGGTGGTTATTAGAACCGATCGTTAGATATATTGTTTTTAAACAATGGCTCACATATTCACTATTTAAAAATACTTTCCATAGATATTACAATTTGAGACATTCAGATTGGTCTATTTAAACTATAACTCATATGTGTATACCATTTTCGAGAAATAAAATCAGATTTTAAAAATTCTAACAAGAAAATTGAAACGTCAGTGCCACCAAATTGGTTACTTAAGGGGTAGGCTCTGAGGCCCCCCCCCCCCCTCCAGTCTTACAAATTTCAAAATAGCCCCATTCAGTAAGGGTTTATGCTTTTTTCTTTTTTTTTTTTTATTGATAATGTAAAAGTATTATTTTAGTAAGACAACCAAAAATTTAAAAAAGGGGGTTTATCATTTAAGTAGAAATGTATTGATAAAGAGATGTTGAGCAAATTTAACTCGAAAACCAGCTTTGAAAATCAAAGACAGACTGAACTTTACTAAAGCATTCCATATTGAACTTACCAAAGTAAAATACAAAAATGAACAATATGTAATGCATTTGGTATGGAATTAGGTGCTCGTTTGCTGTGGTTAAAGCCCTTTACCTAGTGTTGCGTCTAATAACTTGGTTCTTCACAAGCTTCACCAGACAAACAAAATTAAATATTCTTTTCTCTATTATATTTTCAGGACTGCTGGCAAGGGTTGCAGCAGAATGTGGACGAAATGGGAGGATGGTAGAGGAGACAACACTGTCCAGCACAGAAATAGAGGCCATGATGGGTGCTGCAGACTCGGAGGAGATTCTAGATGCAGATCTAGTATTAAGCATGGACCAGACGTGTTCTATACCTTAGTGCATTTTGTTTCTCTCATTTCCTCACCTCGATCACTACCTCATTTAGTTCTGAAAAATCTTGTTAAGATATGTGACAAACTAACGTTTTTATGTAAATATTTTTATACAGATATGGCTGGTAGGGTGTTTATATATCATTCTTTTGGCCGCTGGAGTTGTATTTTCATGAGGGAAAATAAAACTCCTTTAGGTAGGCTAAAGAATATGTATTACATACATAACAGGAAATATCTATTATAATATTAGATAACCTTGATTAAGACCAAGTCATGGTTTTTACATGAAAGTCTGAACACGAACAGTTTAATAGAGTCTGATCTACAGTAGATATCCATTGTCTTCGCCTTTCTTCTCTGTGCTTAGCTGTTATAACGAATATTGTTGATACATGAATACATTGTCTTAGCTCAAGCGCGTATGCTCCTACTGTTATCGTTGACCAGCTGGTCAATATAACCATCCAGATGACCGGGCGTGAACTGTTAACAATAAATTGCAGTCCCCATATCACTTGACATGCTGTGGACCAATCACACCTTAGCAACTCTCTGAGCTATCTAATACAAGTATTTAAGTCTATGTGTAGATGTGTTTTTAGTTTAGTAGATAGGTGGCTGGACTACCGATCATTAGGTACATGTATGTGGTTCAAATCTCGGCCACTTCACTAAGGTCTAGCTTTGGCAAGACCTTAACATACATTTACTACACTCAAACTATGTTGTACCAAAATATGTAGCCTAGTTAAGGTCAGGTAACATACATGCAGGAGCACCTTGCTATATAGATGAGCGCTATACTAGAGTGCAATATTATTATTATTATCTTTTATTAGAGCATATTTTTGTCTTGCCAAGTGAACTTGATTACTTTGAAGGTAATTTCAAAGGCACAGGGTTGGTGAACGTGACTCGTCACCTTATTTATTTTTCTAAAGCATCAACACAAAAACCCACATATTATTATTTTATCAAGGATAAAAACTCGGGTCACAACTATTGGGCCCTTGATTTTGTTACCATCTTGTCAAAATGAAACACTCGATCTAACTCATTTCCAAGCATCAGAAGACGGTTGTTGATATCAATGATGTAGTTGGAAGATCATATACTTCAAAGTTATAATCAAGGAATTATCAGAGCTGGAGTCCAAACTGAGGATAATTTATGCAAACATCTGGCAGATTCCAAAGGATAGTCAATAGAATTATTAAACTGCCTTGGTTCTTTGATATTTGATGCGCGATGCCACCAAAGTAAAAGAAAACATTTTAGAGAGGATGTGAACTTTGTGGGTTTTTGTTTGCACAGTTGATTTATTATATCAATAAACATAGAAAACAAATAGGCAATTGTTTAGTAATTATGTACGATGCCACTCTGAAAATCCCATTCCTCAACAAGCAAGATTTCTTGAGATATTGCCTTAAGAGTGTAATAAATATGTACTGCTTCAAGTACAATATTGATCCCTTGCTGATTGCTTTTCTGATTTTCATATTTTATGGTACTATCAAGAAAATATTTCTATTAAATTAAATCAACCAGAGTAAAGTCCACATGTGTCCACTCATGGAATTAGCAACTTTAAATCTTGTATTTTTGGACGTGTATCTGTTTGCTTACACCTGGTTATACCATTCATGAGCACTTTCTGTGTAACCAATTATCATTATATTGAATACCTTTAATTGCATATGTGCATCCTCTGTAGCAATACTGGCCGCGGGTGTTTCATCGTTAGTTCTTTTGAATCAATGTGCATGTATTCGGAGAGCGCATATATATTGTCGTGGTTGTTGTGGCATTGAGCCTACTTCAGAGGAAATTGTTAAGCTTTTACTCCAGCTGTAATTACTCCTTGTTATTATATTAAAGTTTCACATCACTTTAAGAGGGTCAATTTGTAGGATCACTGTGTAAGTTTATACGTATGTTTATATGTATAAGTTTATACATGGCACGCACCCTCCAAATCCATGTATAAACTTATACGTTTTGGATGGTCTGTACGATGTATAAATTTATACGTTTTGGATGGTCTGTACGATGTATAAATTTATACGTTTTGGATGGTCAGTACGATGTATAAATTTATACGTTTTGGATGGTCTGTACGATGTATAAATTTATACGTTTTGGATGGTCTGTACGATGTATAAATTTATACGTTTTGGATGGTCAGTACGATGTATAAACTTATACGTTTTGGATGGTCTGTACGATGTATAAATTTATACGTTTTGGATGGTCTGTACGATGTATAAATTATACGTTTTTGGATGGTCTGTACGATGTATAAACTTATACGTTTTTAAAGGGTCCATGTCATGTATAAAGTTATACGTCAGAACAAACAGCATGATATACATTTGTATATTTTGCAAGTTGTGTTATTTATAAAAGTGATTGACAACCTTTTGTGTAAATAATTATTTATTTGTTATCAGTGCATTTATTTGTATTGCCAAATAAAGAAACATGGATTACATTTCAACTGCAAAAAGCATCATTAATTAATTATTTAAGTGTATTGGTTAATGTTTGTATAAATGCGATGTCTTTCTACTACTGCATGAGAAAGAGAGAATTTACTTTAGTGATTTCATAAATACTTTAATGAGGAAAGCGAAGGAGTGAAAATGAGAAAGTTAAATATACAGCGAAAATGTCATATAAAGTGTGATGGAGGTGATAGTTGGCTATACCATGAGAAAAGCAAAGCAGTGGAGGCTATAAGCCCTATAAATGAGAGAGTTCTCAAATTATAAGGATTTGGCATGTAATTTGATTTGAATCTGGATTACCCAAGTCCAGATGGAATAAATTATTGTTTCAAGGATATATAAAATTTGGAGCCTTTCAATATGTGTCGAATTGAGGTATGTAATAGTTTGTGATTGGTGGTAGATATACGGTTAAATCTTAATCGAAGTAGTGATGATTAGTGGATGTTACTTTGTAGATAGATGGGTACCAAACGTTGCAATATGTAATCCTATCATAGCTTTTTTTTAATTACAAATGATTAAATTACTTAATTATTACCGTTAATGTAACTCGATTTAACGGGGTAAAAATTTATTCAGCAAAATAAGTAAATTCTTACTGTAAGAATGCAGTAGGAATATTAATTAATAAAAATAAGGCATTCTTTTCCTCAATTTTATTGAGTTATTTCGACTATTATTTTTTGACAGTGTATGATAGTTAACACGGAAATTCACTCAGGGAAATATTACAAAATTTAAGAGAGAATTGGAAACTGTTTGAGTGGAACGAAGTTTTTATGTGAAACAGAAGTTGATAAGTCTTTGATAAATTCATGGATATAATAGTGTTATTTATGACAGATGCTTTCCTTGGGCAGAGAAGTAAGCAAGAATATAAAAGGTACCTCGAATGCCATGGGTCACTAAGTCTTTACTTAGGTCCATAAA